AAGTGGAGACTCAAACCAGGTGCTCCAATGAGATCTGGGCATCCAATCAGCAGCCTAACCACTCTAACAAAAGCCAGGCTTTTGTTCCAATGAGGTCTTCAACCAATTGGTTAAGTCCACCCACATTGAAGACAGTCTGCTTTATTCAGCCTATCAGTTTAAAATGTTAAATTCATCCAAAAAGAACTTCACAGATACCCAGAATGTTTGACCAAATGTGTTACATCCTTTTCTGCTGTAATTAAATGCCTGAGATTGAGTGATGAATAAAGAGGCTGCTTTAGCCCAGAGTTTTAGAGGCTGAAACCCTTGCAGCATGGGACTGGTTCTGGTGAGGGTCTTCTTGGCTGTGTCACATCATGAAGGATGGCATCATGGTGGGAGCATGGGACAACATTAGAGCACCAGGCAAGATGGAAGTCATGGTGGAGAGAGCTTGGTCTTATTCTGACAAATGAGAACTAACCAGGGCCACATACTAACAACTTTAATCCCAGCAAGGGCAGTATCATCAATGAACAACTTCTGTCTCAAAGGTTTCAATATGTTTTACCAAGAAAACTGGTGACCACGCTTCCAACACCTGAACTGTTGAAGGACATACTCAATTCAAATCCAAACCATGTTATCAAATATTTGGATTAAGAAGTGTCCCAAAATGATATAAAATTAACCACCTGGGGGCACAATGGGTTAAGGTACAACTGTGATCCTAGCATTGCAGAGTGCTGCTTCCTTTCCCATCCTGCAGTCTGCTACTGCATCTGGAAGGGAGTGGAAGACGGTCCCGGTGCTTGGGACCCTGCCACTCATGTGGGAGCCTGGATGAAATGCTGGCTTTTGGCTCTGTCCAGACAGGACTGTTGTAGCCATTTGGGGAATGGCCCAATGGATGAGATTAAATGCCTAACAAATAATTAAGTAAATCTTAAAAAAAAAATCAGAGTACTGGCAACGCTTTTCTGGGCTAAGCCTACTTGACTTCATACAAAGCAGGAAATTCACAATTCCCAAATAACAAGAAACAAGTACAATTTGGTTTTGTACTTTAGACAAAACTAAGTAATACTATGCAGCAAGCACATGGCTTTCCAGTCCCTTCAAAATATTCATGTACAATTTTCAAGTGATTGAATCCTTGTTCCTTGAATCCTTGAATGCCCTTGTTCCTCTGCCCCAAATTAGGTAGCTGATTTCATTTAGATAACAAACATGGCTCATGGACAGTCTTAGCCAAGCTCTGAGTTCACTCATGCTGTTGCTTCGAGAGGAAGAAAAGGCTCACTTACAACAAAACACCTGCATTCGCTCAGGCTAGAACTGGGCAACACCCAATCCCAATACATCGCCTTTTATGAATGATTAACATCATTCATATACCAAGCACAATTCTTAGATTTTTGACACGAAAGTTGAAAATACTTTGTCACAATATGTTCCTCATGCCATGCTGAATGCTTGTGAAAGTTTCAAAACTCTTTATCAGGTTTTCTTTTTTTGGAAAGGCAGATATACAGAGAAGAGGAGAGACAGAGAGGAAGACCCTACGTCCGATGGTTCACTCCCCATGCAGCTGCAACAACTGGAGTTGAGTCAATCCGAAGCCAGGAGTCAGGAGCCTCTACCGGGGCTACCACATGGGTGCAGGGTCCCAAAGCTACGGGCCGTCCTCAGTTGCTTACTCAGGCTACAGGCAGGGAGCTGGATGGGAAGCAGGGCTGCCAGGAATAGAACCAGTGCCCATATGGGATCCCGGTGCTCTCAAGGCGAGGACTTTAACTGCTAAGCCATTGCACCGGGCCCTTCATTGGGTTTTCCTGAAAATCCTGCCTTTTGGGTTTGTGGTGCAGGTACAGTTATGGCCACTGCTTCTGGCAATCCTTATTGGAGCTTGGTAGTGTTCAGGTTGCTCCACTTCCAATCTAGCTCCCTGTTAATGGCCTGGGAAAAGCAGCATTGGATAGCCCATGTGCTTGGGCCCCTTTCACCCATGTGGCAGACCCAGAAGAAGCTCCTGGCTGTGGCCTTGCCCAGTGCTGGCTGTTTAGGCCATCTGCAGAGTGAACCAGAAGACGCAACACCTCTTTCTCTCTGTAACTCAAATAAATACATCTAATTTTTGTTTTCTAAATCTAGTCTTTTTTTTTTTAATCAGAGTCTTCTTTCTCTGTCCTGAATGTCTAATTCAGAGTATAGAACTGCTATATTGCATCACTTTTCCTAAGATATAAAATTCAAAAATACTTTAAGTTTTCAAAAAAAATTACACTTACACAGAGAATTCGAGCATTACTGAAGATTGCATAGCAGAGACATTTTATATCATAGCAACCATCTCATAACATGTAAAATACTAACTTCGTTAATGTACTTCCTAAATCATTATACTCTTCTTTTTAACCCAACTGTTATTTATGAACATTAAAAAATTCCAAGTATGTAATTTTTCTTTGTTCAAATTTCTTACTTTCTAGCAGTGTATTTTTTAGAAACATTACTCAAGTAGAAAATAGAACTGCTTCAAGATAATTGAAAAAACACAAACTAACCAAGTAATACGCATTACAAATACACCTCTGCTTAACTACCCTCTAGCTTTCTACTTACTTATCAAATAAATGCTGAAATAAAAGCCCAATAGTTTTGCTACGTGTTCTCATTTTGAGGGATATGCCATGAATTTAAGTTCTTAAAACATTGTAATTTTGGGCCCGGCAGTGTGGCCTAGCGGCGGAGGTCCTCGCCTTGAACGCCCAGGATCCCATATGGAAGCCAGTTCTAATCCCGGCAGCTCCACTTCCCATCCAGCTCCCTGAATGTGGCCTGGGAAAGCAGTCGAGGACAGCCCAAAGCCTTGGGACCCTGCACCCGTGTGGGAGACCTGGAAGAAGTTCCTAGATCCTGGCTTCGGATTGGCATAGCATCGGCCGTTGAGCCCACTTGGGGAGTGAATCATCAGACGGAGGATCTTTCTCACTGTCTCTCCTCCTGTCTGTATATCTGACTTTCCAATAAAAATAAATTGTTAAAAAAATAGTAATTTTAAATGTACAAGGTTAATGAAATATATTGAATTATACCAGTAAAGCTATCAACTATATCATCATGTTAAACATTTTAGGTGGATGCCACATTTATCACAAAGTCTCTAACGTCACATCCTGCATTGTATTAACTTTAATAGATCTTGTTACATGCTTAAATTGTAAGACAAATGCTGTTCTCTATTTCTGTGACTTCTGGTTTCCATAATCCTTAAACCCTTTTATTAGTCTTATATAATTCCAGTATATACGGCTAGATTGATTTCTGACACAATCTGAATCTTTTTGGATATTTATATAACTACTTTGTAATAGCTTATCTGTAACTCAATGCATTTTATGTCAAATTCAACACTTTCTGTGGTTTCTTTTTGCTATATTTTCTTGGTCCTTCACCGTGTCCCCCTCTTCAATCCAAAAACTTGCAATGGACACACATATTCCATTTTCATCTATAAGTTGATATCATATTGACTCAGATAAACATTACCTGATGAAGCAGCTATTTTTTCCCTTGCAAATTGTATATAGAACACTATTTTGTTCAATTCATCTCTAATTAGTTTTATTTTTATACTACCAGGATCAGTTTTATGGACAAATTTGGTACATTTCCTCCTTTATCATAAAACATGGGTTTCCAATTTTATCATATTAACATTCAGGATACCTTTACTCTACTGTCCTGTCCAGTGACAAAGCCATGTTATATTTTGACATATACATGTAAAATATACTGTAGAACAGTGTGTATTTGCTCAATGTATTGGACATTTTGCGTGCCCTTTTAGCCTAAGATTTTATCAACTGAAATCTTGGACCTGGTATGCAAGTCTGCTTTTATATTTGGTCTTACTGCCTTAATTATTTATGGTTAATGTTCTAACATTAGTTTCAATGCTTACTGTTGATTCTTTCAAACAATCACCTCTCATTTTAATTCAAGTTCTCCGTTGGCTGCAATAAATCATATAGTATAATTTCGAGATAGCCCTGTCTATTTGAGAATGTCTTCCCACTCCCTTGTACTAGAAAGAAAAACATGGCAGGGTCCACGATGTTTTCATTTAAAATTCTGTTGTATGATATTGGTCCACTGTCTTCTGGCATTTAGAGATGCAAGAGAAACATCCGAAGCTGGCGTGATGTTTGTCCCTTTACAGGCAATCTATTTTCTCTGGATAGTTGTAAACTTTTTATCCTCAAGATCTAGAAACGTTACTAGGTCTGGGTGCCCCTTTCTTTTCGCTAACTTTAAAGGTATTCTGTCATCGGTTTCCAACCGGAGCTCTTGTTTGCTCTTCCGCCGGCTCTCAGCTCCGTTCTCCTGGTCCTCCGTTTCGGGTGCTCCCGGACTGGCGCCCTCCCTCTGGGTCTCTCGGTCCCGGGAGGCTCCCTCGGCTCCCGGTTTGACTTCAGTTATTCTCCTCGGTCGTCAGGCCGGTGCGCACATTCCTGTCAGCTCCCCGGGTCGTTCCAGGCCGTCTGACAGACTCGGCTCGACCCCTGCTACCTCGGCTGTCTGAAGCGGCATCGCCTCCCCGACCTGGTTCTGCTCCTTCCGTCTGCAAGGCAGCCTCACCTCCAAACAGCCAGAACTCAACTCACTACATCACGAAGGCATCTCAGCGATTAATGCTGCGAAACATGTTCCACGTTTCTTTCTTACCTTTTCAACAGATTTCTCACCTAAGGGGGTCAAGATTCAAGATTAAACGGCTTCCCATACACAACACGAAGGTTTTGAAGGGTTTCACTACGTCATCTCTGCGCGCCAAGGGTCAGAGCCGGCCGCGCCTCCTTGAGTTCTCACGCTCCTCCCCGGCCCCCGCCCGCTTGTGCAGCGGCACTGCATTGCGCACGCGCAGAAGCCCATTTAGGGTTTTTTTTTCCTCTTCCCATTGGCTCGGTTCCGCCTGGAGGGCGGGGCACACGTCCAAGTGTAGCCAATGGCGCCCCGGGTGAAGGTTGAGGGTTGAAGGTGTCTGCTCACAGGAGCGAAGCCCTGCTCTGTCGCGTGTGCTGGGCTGCCTGGGCATCATGGACGCTGTGTCGACCGAGGAACTTGATGAGGAGGAGCTGCTGGTGAGAAGGCATCGCAAAGAGAAGAAGGAGTTGCAAGGTGACGGGGAAGGACGTGGACGTGGAGCGTGGGAAGAGCGCGTGGCCGTGGGTCCGGCGGAATCCTGGGTCCGAGGCTTCCCCCGACGGCCCGCTCGCCCCCTCAGGCTGCCGGGGACCCCTCTCCCGGTGTCGGGCTGAGATGGCCTCCGAGCGCGGGAAGCGGGCGACCCTGCACCCCTGCCGGCCTCGCCCTCCCCCGTCTGGCCCGGGGTACCGACCTGTGTCCCTCGTGGGTGCTCAGAAGCAATACTTGAAAGATGGGGACCTTACTTAAGGCAGGTTTTTTTTTTTTTTTTTTCCGCCAAACAACGCACGTACGTGCAAGGTTCTGTGCTCCTGAGTTCCATCTGGGCCCCTTTGGATAACTCTTAGGAGGACTTTTCCGGCTTCCATAATTACGTTTTCTTTACCTTCCCTTATGCCTTTATTGGCTCGTGTTTCCCATTTCTCCTCACTCTGAGTTTCTCACATAGTGATTTGGGTGCCTTTGCAGCCAAAATTCAGGGTATGAAAAATGCGGTTCCCAAAAATGACAAAAAGAGGAGGAAGCAGCTCACTGAAGATGTCGCCAAGCTGGAGAAGGAGCTGGAACAGAAACATAAAGAGGAGCTGGAACAGTTGAAGCTAAGTGCCAAGAACAAGGTAGGTGGAAAATATTCATCTTTGCAACATTTGAAAGCAGCTGTCCCCTTCTGTGAAACTGTGTGTGACATGAGATCCAGTGGCTGGTGGAGGATATGCCTTAGTTGAGTGGAGTATCGCCTCTCACTAAGGTGGTGACTGGGTTGACATGGTGGTGTTTTGGTGGTGTTTTTGTGCGGGAGATCAGCGTAGGGAGGACGCTCTCTCCTTACTTACTTGCTGAACGATAGCCAGATGGTGATCAGCTGCTAGAGGATGCTCCACCCAATGAGAGTTAGATGATGAGATCGCTTTCCCCAGCGTTGCCCTTGAGTAGGATTGTACGCTGGACAGGGGCTCATCTCCGTTAGCCTTCTTTGCTCCATGTACAGTGTGACAGTGCACCTACTTCTGCCTTCTGATACAACTTAAACAAATGGGGGATTTGTTCTCAAGATTTATTTCTTCCATTCACTGGTTGACTTCCCAGATGGCTGAGACAAGTGAAGACTGCACCAGGGGGCAAGCGACATCCTGATCTCTCACCTGGGTGCCGTGGCCCTGTTTCTCCAGATGCATTATCAGGGAGCCAGATTGGAAGGGAACAAGCCTAGGACTTGAACCGGCACCTCAGCAAGGGATGCTGGGACCAAAGGAGCAGCTTGACTTGCTCTGTATTGCTTGTTTATTTTGTGCAGGAGCTGGAGAGACGGAGATGTTCACTTCCCAGTTGCCCTGAATTGGGGGAGCAGGGGCAGCCCAGGACCTCAGTCCTAGTCTCCCCGGTGGGACCCACCTGTTGGAGCCATCTCCTGGATGTGCGTTGGCAGGGTGCTGGAATGGGAATAGAGTCATACTTGAATCCAAGCCCTACTAGACCCAATGCCCACTGCAAGATGATTTTTTTTTTTAAGATTTATTTTATTTTTATTGGAAAGGTGGATATACAGAGAGGAGAGACAGAGAGGAAGATCTTCCGTCCAATGATTCACTCCCCAAGTGAGCGCGACAGCCGATGCTATGCCGATCCAAAGCCAGGAGCCTCTTCCAGGTCTCCCACACGGGTGCAGGGTCCGAAAGCTTTGGGCCGTCCTCGACTGCTTTCCCAGGCCACAAGCGGGGAGCTGGATGGGAAGTGGGGCCGCCGGAATTAGAACCTGCGCCCATATGGGATCCCGGGCGTGCAAGGCGAGGACCTTAACCACTTGCGCCACAGCGCCGGGCCCAAGATGATTTTTTAATTATAGGAGTACTTCATGAACAAGTTGCAATGAACGAGATTTGATCGATGTGTCTTGGAATAGCGAAAATATGCTAATTTTCATCATGATAACTGTTAGTTGTTAGCATACGTGTGCCAAGGACTTTGCTTAGCACATATGCGTTGTCTCAGTCCAATATTTCCAAGTGGGAACCAGACTTAGAGTTGTTGTGACATTTCTGTTGAAGTTAGAGCAGCTGTGCAGTCCCAAAGACAGAGTTCAACATCAGAGCACTCTTACTCTACTATGTGAGTCTAAATTCCATCATAGGTTTGTATTTGTGAGCTAATTTATGGCGCAGATTTAGGATATGAAGGATCTCAGATTCTACAAGCTCAGTCCACATTTTATAATTAGGAACTTTTTATGTCTATACCGAATTGGGTTTGGTATAATTACATTTTGGTTGGTTCGGTTTTGCTGTCTGGCTGACAGCGGAGCCAGGCTTTCTGAGCAAATTTATAGTATCCTTATGTTAAATACAGTCTCAGTTTCTTTCATGATTGGTCATCAAGAGCCTGTGCTTGCTTGGCTCCAGTATGCCTGATCTCCATGCACTGTGGCGTGACGCCGCAGGTGTTTAATTGTGCTGTCACAGCAATGATGTTCCTGTTTGTCTATTTTTCTGATAGCAAGATTGTTTCGCTTATTCTCAGGCCTTTGCATTTTCAGATTTTTTTTTAGATTTTCAACTAAGAAAAATTTGATTCCTAAGATATTTATTTACCAACTATTAAAATACAACTCTCATTCTGCTTGGAACTATAATATTTTCATTAAGTGAAGTTTGTTTTCTTTCCTAACACAGCCTTAGTTCGATGTCATTTGTTTTTCAGTTTCTTTGGCTCTTGCCTGTTGTCAGTATGTCAGTTTGTGGATCTTAGCATGTTACCTTTTTTTTTTTTTTTTTTTTTTTTTAAAGATTTATTTTTATTATTTTTTCATTGGAAAGGCAGATATACAGAGAGGAGAGACAGAGAGGAAGATCTTCCGTCCGATGATTCACTCCCCAAGTGAGCGCAACGGGCCGATACTATGCCGATCCGAAGCCAGGAGCCTCTTCCGGGTCTCCCACGCGGGTGCAGGTTCCCAAAGCTTTGGGCTGTCCTCGACTGCTTTCCCAGGCCACAGGCAGGGAGCTGGAAGGGAAGCGGGGCTGCCGGGATTAGAACCGGCACCCATATGGGATCCCGGGCGTGCAAGGTGAGGACCTTTAACCACTTGCGCCACTGCGCCGGGCCCATTAGCATGTTACCTTAAAAAATTATTTTTAAAGATTTATTTGGAAGTAGGACCCTCAGGGAAAGGGGGTAGGGTGGGAGTGAGAGGTCTTCCATCTGTTCATCTGCTGGCTCACTCCCCAGATGGCCGCCAACAGCCAGAGCTGAGCTAGGCTGAAGCCAGTGGCTCCCAGGCACATGGGGAGGAAGCTGGATCAGAAGCAGAGCAGCTGGGCTTCATGCCCGCACACTGATAGGGAATGTGGACATTGGAAAGAGGAGCTTGTCGACCCATGCACAACACAGTGCTGGTCCTGCTGTTAACAACAACAACAAATCTTGATTTCTAATTTCATTAAAGTTATAATTGCTATGGCTTGAAAGTCTTTTTCTAGTTGATATTTTGATTGATTAATTGAGGCCTCTGCTTCTGTGTATTGGAGATCTTGATTTATTTTATGCACATGTGATGCTAAAAACTACCTTATATGGGGCCGATGTTTGGCCTTGTGCTAAGACACTGGTTGGGATGCACATGTTGCATATTGAAGTGCTTGGGTCCCAGTCCTGGCTCAAATCTTGGTTCTAGGTTCCTGCTAATGCATACCCTAGGAGGCAGCAGTGACAGCCCCAGTGGTTAGATTCTCACCTCCTTCCTGCGAAACTAGATTGAGTTTCCAGCTCTGCCTTCACCCTGGCCCAGCTTAGCTTTGTGGGCATTTAGAAAGTCAGTTAATAAATGGGAGCTCTTTCTCTTTCTCTCTTCTGTCTTGTCTCTCAAATATTTACAAAATTAGCCTAACTTACAGTTGTAATGAATGCTAGCTACTCGTTCTGATAGAAGTCTAGCCATCATTTGTCTTGTTTCAGCAAAAGAATTGGGATTTGTTTTCATACATAATGATGTTAAGCATCAACTGTATTTTCTATCTGTAGTTAGCAGATAGGAAAAGATAGGACGAGCTAAACTTAATGCAAGGTTCTAGAATAATGGTCATCGGCTCTGGCTAATTGAGGTGGAAAAGGCCTCTCCTTCCCTACTTGAGATTATTAAGGTAGCAGTGAACTGACCCATATGTGTAAGCAGATGGCTTAGCTTTCTATAATTGGAAAGTTGAACGTATTACTTCCCGAGTTGGGTTCCAGTTAAACCAGGAACACTAAAATATGTGTGCAGTTATTGCAGGTTCTAAAGCAGGCGTGACTCAAGGATGAATTTTGCTTTAATTTGGACCTTATCCCAAATTTATCTTAGTATGTATGTGTAAATAATTCTAAAATCTGAAGTCCAAAGCACTTTTGGATGAGAGATACTGAAGCCAGTAATGTCAGTTCAGAAAAGGGAAGTAATGAATGAGCTGATATTTTCAGAAAATACAGTTTTTAGATTGCAGTGGGCATTTCTGAAAGGAAGAAAAGTCCATGGAATGAGCATCTTTGAAAGGAAACTGGTATGACAAATTCTCCCATACAACTAGAAAACACACAGAACCATTTTACCATGCTCGGTGCCATTACTCAGATTTGAAATGTAGAATTAGATATGTTTATGCTTTTCAGGAATAATTTAATAACCTAATACTTCTCAATAATAACTTAAAAGAATGTTTTCATTGGCAAATTAATACTTTTTGTTTCCTTCAGATAGATTCTGTTGCTGATAACCTTTCCAACTTGGTACTGGAGAATCAGCCACCACGGATATCCAAAGCACAAAAGAGACGGGTATGATTGTCATGTCGTTAAGTAGACAGCTTTGCTCTGTGAGTGTACTGTCTCAGAAGGAATGGCGCAATGGCTCAGTTGACTGATTCTTCCCTTACAACTGCTGGGTTCTCTTATGGTCACCCATCCAGCCTCCTGCTTTCCCAGAACACATCCCAGATGTGTTCTGGGAAAGCAGAGGAGGATGGCCCAAAGCCTTGGGATCCTGCACCCATGTGGGAGACCCAGAGGAGGCTTCTGGCTCCTGGCTTTAAATTGGCTCAGCTTCAGCAGTTATGGCCAACCTGGGAGTGAACCAGTGGATAGAAAAGTTTTGTGCTCTGTCCTTCACTATATAAAAACATGCCTTTTCAATAATTAATCTTTCTCTCTTTTCTTCCTTCTTCCTTCCTTCCTTGCTTCCTTCCTTCCTTCCAGAGAATAGTAATCAAAAGTGGAGTTTCTTCTCAGTAGACTGGAAGTAGCATTTATTAAGCACTTGCCCTGTGCCAGATGCCACACTGAGTTACTTGCTTGAGGTTTTATTTTGTGTGGACAGTAGTTCTGTGGAGAAGGATTTTTTTTTTTTATCATTTTACAGAGAAGGCTATAAGCCCAAGACAATATATGGCTTTAATTTCACATAGAAATGGGTAGTGCAAAGGATTTTTTTTCTTTTTCTTTTGCATATATATTTTTCCAGACTTAATAATTCAGAATTTTCAGAATATGGATCTGTGTTGTCTTATGTACAAGTCTGGTCAAAACTATAATGTTAAGTGATGGAAAATGGATTAGAAGTTAAATAAGATATTTGGGTATAAAAATTGAGAAAATAAAATAGGTATCTATATAATGTTTAATGGTTAATAAAATTCAGAGAAGGGAAAATTCATTTTACAAAGTGTTAAATAGTGGACTGTAAGTTAAAGGAAATAGAATTATTATTTAAAGATTTATCTATCTTTATTGCAAAGTCAGATATGCAGAGAGGAGGAGAGACAGAGAGGAAGACCTTCCATCTGATGATTCACTCTCCAAGTGACTGCAATGGCCGGAGCTGAGCCGATCAGGAGCCAGGAGCCTCTTCAGATTTCTCATGCCGGTGAAGGGTCCCAAGGCTTTGGGCCATCCCTGACTGCCTCCCCAGGCCACAAGCAGGGAGCTGGATGGGAAATGGAGCTGCCGGGGCTAGAACTGGCGCCTATATGGATCCTGGCACATCCAAGGCAAGGACTTTAGCTGCTAGGCCACTGCACCGAGACTGGATATAGAATTATTTAGGTAGATCTTTTCAGGTAGCAGAAATGGGATGTACAAGAAGAAAACAGGAGTGAAATATTGCTGGAGAAAAGTGATTATTTAGAAGCACCAGTTCTCATAGGAATGAAGTTACATAAGTAACATCCTTTCAGTTCGAAAAACTTTTTAAAAAAGGCTTTTTTTGTTTAGTGCCAGTTATTATTTTTCTAGCATCTGATATTTTCTAGGATTTAGGCATCTTTTAAACTAGCTTTTCACCTTATCATTTACTAGCCCATAAGGTATTGGTATGTGCAGTTTAGTATTGATTGAGGTTTTAATTTTATTTTTATGACTTTGGATGCCTTTTTTAGCATTAATTTCACGGCTATACAATGGGAGAAAATGATACCCATTTCGAAACATTTTGTGAATATTAAATAACTCACTGATGCCAGAGTTTTTTTTTTTTTTTAAAGATTTATTTTTATTATTTTTTTCATTGGAAAGGCGGATATACAGAGAGGAGAGACAGAGAGGAAGATCTTCCGTCCGATGATTCACTCCCCAAGTGAGCACAACGGGCCAATACTATGCCGATCCGAAGCCAGGAGCCTCTTGCGGGTCTCCCACGCGGGTGCAGGTTCCCAAAGCTTTGGGCCGTCCTCGACTGCTTTCCCAGGCCACAGGCAGGGAGCTGGAAGGGAAGCGGGGCTGCCGGGATTAGAACCGGCGCCCATATGGGATCCCGGGCGTGCAAGGCGAGGACCTTTAACCACTGCGCCACCACGCCGGGCCCAGATGCCAGAGTTTTGACACAAACTCTGGAAAACTAAAGGGTGGCAAATGCGAGGGTTGTTTACCATGTGAAGTCCTGCAGTTTGTCTCTAAAAAGCTAAACTTTTTTTATGTGAAATTTGGTTGACTTGCATTGTATTCAGACATTTCCACTACTTCTATAAAATGCCATTTTTCAAATAGTTGTTTTGCTTGTGAATTTCATGGAATCAGGAAATTTAGATTGTACAGTATCTTGAGGTTGTCTAGTTTGTTATTGCTTTTCTTTTTTTGAAGATTGATTTATTTTTCTTGGAAAGGCAGATACACAGAGAGAAGGAAAGACAGATAATGATGTTCCGTCTGCTGATTCACTCTCCAAGTGGCCACAGTTGCCAGAGCTGAGCTGATCCGAAGTCAGGAGCCAGGAGCTTTCTTTCTCCAGCTCTCAGAAGAAGAAAACAAGAGGAGCTTGAATTAGAGGCTAGCTAAGGTGCTTCTTCCCTCTCAAACTGCCTGTTGAGTCTTTAGGAACGTAACAGTGCCATCTTGTGTTCTAAGAGTTTAGCTCTTGGTAAATCCAGGTTGTAGGAATGAAGTGAAATAAAGGACACATTCGGTTAGGAAGATATTACTGCTGTTGATTATTATCAATATCAATGACCTTTCGTCTGTTGCCTTCTTAGGACAAAAAAGCAGCGTTGGAAAAGGAGAGGGAAGAAAGAATAGCAGAAGCTGAAATTGAGAATTTATCTGGAGCCAGACATATAGAAAGTGAAAAACTTGCCCAAATATTGGCAGCTAGACAGCTAGAAATTAAACAGATTCCATCGGATGGCCATTGTATGTACCGAGCCATTGAAGATCAACTGAAAGGACAGGACTGTGCCCTGAGCGTGGCCGCCTTAAGGAGTCGGGCGGCTGAGTACATGCAAAGCCACGTGGAAGACTTCCTGCCGTTTCTAACAAACCCCAATACGGGAAACGTGTATTCTGCAGGTGCTGTATTTGTCTTTGCCATGGTTTGCTGTTGGTGATTGTGGTTGCGGTTGCTTTGAGATGCAGTGCTTCTGGGACTGAAGAGAAGAAAAGCCTCTTTGGTTCTTAAAAGGGGAAAGCAAAATCATGTATTTTAGGCAAATTATTTTCTATAATTTTGATAGGTGCCAATACTGTTTTTTTATTATCTCTTAAGTACTTAACTGTTTAGTTATTGAAACATATTGATTCTTTCTTACATGATAAAACTAGGAATAATTGTAATGATTGTTATTGAAGAATGGTATAAATTCATTCACCATAAAGGAAAGTGAGCCTTGACCAGTCTCTGAAAGTATACAGAAAGTCTTCAAAAAGTTCTTTGAAACATGCAAAGGACTATGCATGAGTTTAAAAAACATTTTTATACCAAAGTTAAGCTATGCCTTTATTCAACTTTCCATGAAAGTTTTGCAGTAGCCTCATATGGTGGGCCTGAAAACTGTAAGCCGAGAATGCTTATGAAAACTAATTCCCCCTTTAACTGTTTACTTAGGGATATTTAATCCTATTTAAGGCATAATTTCAGATTAGTATTTGAGCAAAATATGATTTTTGTAAGACCAGAAAAAAAGACCTGTAGGACTTTTGAGAAGCAAGATAAAATATTAATGGAGAGGGGAAAAAAAATGCATTTTTAGCAGATGAGGAGAGAGCAATGAAATTTCTCAGCGTGTTTCCAGGGAGGAGAATGGAATAGAGGAACGTTTGTCTTTGCAAGAAGATGGTTGGCTGTGTCTACTGGGAACTGATGCCACCCAGATAGATAGGAGAGGGGGAGACCCAAGCTGGCTTCCCTTTACTGGAGGCCAGCCTTCAGGACAGCAAGGTAGAGCATGGTACAAAACAGTGGAGAGTGATCACGAGCTATCAACTAGGTCTCCTTTAGTGTGTGACAGCCCAAGGTATCTGTTGGAAGATACCAAGTGTGAATGTGAACATAACTTATTCTGCACCCATCTTAGTTCCCGTAAGTGTCATGCTATAAGCTGTTAAAGCATCTCTTGTTATTTTAGGTCATTATAATTTTTTAAGTTGCCAGAATTTGCTAGGGCCTATCTCTTTAACATGATAAATGGCTCTTTATAAGTATATTTCCAAAATGATTATTCAGTCATTGAAATTCCCCACGGCTGTGACATGTGGGGAAAGAGATTTAATGGTCTTTATTAATTTAGTTAGTGTCATTTGAAGGCCACAGTGTGCTAGACATAGTGAACATGTGACACAAATATGTAGGACATACTTCTCTCCTAGGTTGTCATGATTTGTCTCTGTCTCAGGGCAGGAAGGATAGTAGTGGCTGGGTTTAAATTTAATATGCTATGTAAAAGTCTGTGTATACAAGCTACACTCATTATAACAGTCTGTTTAGGTCTTTTATTTTTCCCCTTAAGGGTGGTCTCAAAAGCCTTGATATTGCTGATACACGTGCAGATAACCTGAATGAGTCTAAAATAACAAATGGTGGCATTTTGGGATATTATTTCTGGGGAGAGTTTCAACTCCTTTGTTTATCTTCCCTGATTTTCTTCTCACATTTCTCATAGAGTCTTAGAACAATCCTGCTTGTATGGAGGCTGCATATTTTAGTTTTCCGTGGTATTTTGAGTTTCAAAACCCTTGTCAAGATAATGACCAGGACAGCCACTGTGAGGGTCATTGCCTGTAACAACAGGAAAGTCCCTGGGCTTGAAGCTGAGGGCTGGAAGTGGAAGAGGTTTGCTTTGCTCATGGGTGGATAAATAGCAGCAAGAGTGGATTAAGTTTGATCTGAGATGTAGATTAAGCTCTGGAAGGTTCTGGGGAGGAAGGAGTGTGGGAACTATACAGGAGATAATGTGAAGTGAGTTAAGAGGATTACCAAATGCACATTGTGGTCTGTTCTCCACAGAAGAGTTTGGGAAGTACTGTGAAGACATTGTAAACACGGCTTCGTGGGGAGGTCAGCTGGAGGTAAGCCTGTAGTTATTCGGAATGACTCTGGGTCATTCAGTCATCTCGAAGTTCCTTCTGAGGTTTCTGAAATTTTGCAGTTAATCCCAATTTCTTGTGCAGGGCTTTTTCTTTATATATAATATATTTGCTCTTTTTCTGCCAACAAGGACGTTGGGCGTGAACATTGTTACCTTGCTAGGTTTTTTTTTTTTTTTGTTTTATTTTGTTTTGAAAGATTTATTTATCTTTACTTGAAAGAGAAAGAAGGGAAAGGTACAGGGAGAGAGATTTTCCACTCACTGGTTCAGTTCCCCAATGGCCAGAGCTGAGCTGGTCCAAGGTTGGGAAGCAGACCTTGTTCTAGGTCTCCCTCATGGCAACAGGGGCCCAAGACCTTGGGCTATCTTCCGCTGCTTTTCCAGGTGGTTAAGCGGGGAGCTGCGTCAGGTATGGGGCCCCCAGGGTTAGAGCTGCAGGTACTGGCATGCTGAGCCACAGTGTGTGTGCCCCGCATTCTTAGGTTCTTACTTGGAGGAAATGAAGAGCTATTTTCATTAGCTCCACATGTTAAAGAAGATAGTGTCCTATCTATACAAATTTTTTGTTGTTCCTTCTTTGTTTTGCATTTGTGATGCTACTACTACTAGCAATATATTTGATTTTCTGGACTTTTTTGAACGTGAAACTTTTACTCAAGCTATTTAAAATTTACATTAAATAGCTCAGCTGATGAAAAATCACTTTTGGAAAAGTAACTTTTTCATATCAGAAATGGTAAGCAGTATTTTTGTATGAAATTGTATGTTTATGACAGGAGGTGAGCCAGCCACTGCCTGGTTCAGGTTCATGTTCAAGCGTTGCCCTCCCCTTGTGTTTTGGTTTTATGAGCTTGGAGGCGTCAGCTAGCCTCATGAATTCAGTTTTAATTACTGAATTAGATAATAAAGTCTCTGTATGTACTCGTTTACAAACATTAACCTGTTGCGTTCCATTGTCCTGTGTGTGTAGGAACCTCTAAAAACTTAAAATATGCAATAAATGTATCTTGTTATGGTATAGAAACTTTATAGTAAACATTGTGTTGTTTAAATATTCACATAATTGAAAATTTGAGATTTTGTGTGCCAAGGGGAGTACATGCATAAAAAGTTTACTGTAAGGTGAGTAATGAATCTAACACTGTCATTATTCTTGGTATTTACTGATTAGTCATCTTCTAATCTTCTATCGTCTGTAGTTTTAACTGTTTCATGTCCGATAACGGAAAATCTGGAGGGTGTGAGGTATTTCACATCTTATTATTAACGGCTGTTTTCATACCTCTCCACCAGAGGGAGCTGTGTCCATTAGCTTTGGATGCTTCCTCTTATGACCACATTAGACATAAAAATGGATGAGTTTTTTTTAGTAAGTATCATCAACTAATGTGAGTATTTAGAGACCCACCCAATTCTTTTTGAATTAACAAAAGCTTTTTAAAAGTATACTTTGAAACTATCCACTTATGAATTAATTCAAAATGAGACATACTGTTATCACAGTGTAGTAAATTTAAAGTTTAAGAGAGAAAAATCTGTATGAATTCTGGACTTAGAAGGAGTGGTACAATTTCCAGGGCTTACTTTGCACCTTCCATTCTTTATTAGTTTTCCAAAAAGTCATTTTAAATATAGAAAATATAACAAGTGTGCCTCAGCACCATTTCAGAAGACAGACTGTGTGATTAAATTGATCGATGTGCAGCAGGGATCCTTTTCCATATTCCTGAAGGAACTTTCCAACCCCGTCCAAGGCCCATGTTGCTGACCCGTGTCCTTATGCCTCATCCACAGACCGAGGCACTTTGATCGACGACTTAACAGGTAGTTTATGAACGTGGACTCTAGGAACAGATTTTCTTGTTTTTTTAGCACAGGTCATTTAATTTCCTAAAACTCGAATATGATACATCTCTACACTTTTTTTTCAAGATTTATTTGTTTTTATTGGAATGTCCAATTTATAGAGAAAAGGAAAAAAAGAGAAAAAGATGTTTCATCTGCTAGTTCACTCCCCAAGTGGCCGCAACAGCTGGAGCTGAGTTGATCCACTGCCCAGAACCAGGAGATTCTAACAGGTCTCCCACATGGGTACAGGATCCCAAGGCTTTGGGCCATCCTCCTCTGCTTTCCTAGGCTCCAGACAGGAAACTGGATGCAGAATGGAGCAGCTGGGATATGAACCGGTGCTGGTAGGGATCCTGGTGTGTGTAAGCTACCTCGCTGGGCCCCATATCTTAACTTTTTTTTTGCTTCAGATTCCAGGTCTTTAAAAAATAGTAATATTTATTTCATAAAAGTATGGCAAGAACCGAATGAGTCCATGCACAAGGAGTATGTAAGAGGGCTTGGTCCTGGAACATCTAGAAAAGATTAGCATCAATATTCATTATTGACCGTTAATGTATCTGTTCTGTAAGGATAGAGAGTCCTTCGCCGGAAGTACAGTTCACAGCTGCCTCTTCCTTAGTCCTGACAGTTACAGAAGTTCTCATCCCTGGTGTCTTCTACATTGGACTCAGCTGAAAAGCTTAAAGAAATGGTTTTGCTGCCTGCCCTTGCGTGAGTCTGGTGCCTGGGCTTTCAGTCTTCCTTATGGAGATTTCTAAATAGACCATAAGCAGAGAAGACTAGTATAATAAACCCCATAGGCCCATCACCCCACTTCATTAAGTTCAGGGATACTTTTAAAAAGCTGATGGGTAAGGCTTAAATCCTCTGTATTTTATTTAATAAATATTAGGTTTGTTTATGCAACACATATTTATTGCATGCCAGCCTTGCCCAGGGTCTTGGTACGCACTGATGAACAGAGCACCCTCCTGCTGTTTGCCCTGTTTGTATGCACAGCAGTGGCTTAGGACCTGAATAACATTTTTATTTTATTATCTTTACTAATCCTTTTTCCTCCCCTTCTATCTTGTAGCTGAGAGCTCTGTCTCACATTTTACAAACTCCAATAGAGATAATACAGGCGGATTCTCTTCCTATTGTAGTTGGTGAAGAATATAAAAAAAATCCATTAATACTTGTGTAAGTACATAGAAATTTTTTTGCTGCTTTATTTTTCATAAGACAAAACAATATTTAAAAGTATAGGTTATATATGTGGATTAGTCAAAGCCATTATTTTAAGCTAACTTCATTTTGCCTGTTTTACAAAACCAGTGACGGAACTGGAAAGCACTGTTAAAATATGATTTAGTTATGTAAGATAGTAATTATTTTTGTGCAACACATTAACGATAAAGTTATTTTTAAATGCTTCGGAGTTTTAGGATGAGTTTGTATATTCTCCTAGTTTGACATTAACTGCTAAAATTTTTAACAAGCGTAAAGGCTAAAATATGCCATGTTTCCTCTTTAGAAATTTTTGTATTATAAAAATCTACACAATCGAAAAATCTCCGAATGAAAGGTTTGCTGTTGGTTGTAGTGTTTATTAAGATCGTCGTTAAAGGGGTGGGTTTAGGTAAAGAAGCTGTTGAGCACTTGGAAGCTCAGCCTTTGCACTTTCCTCTGATGATTGAGCCAGGTTCCCCTGACGATGGCACCCTTCCAATGGTGCTCAATTTTTTTTTTTTTTTAACTTTTAAGATTTACTTTATTTGAAAGGTAGAGTGACTGAGAAGAGGAATATAGCGATGCCTTGCTTTTCCTGGTTCACTCTCCAGATGCCTAAAACCACTGGGGCCAAGAGCCTGACACAAGGAGCCAGTATTTCCATCCTGCTCTTCCATGAGGCTGCTAGGAGTTCAAGTGCTGGAGCTGTTCTCCCCCATCTCCTAGGTGTGCTGGCCGGAAGCTGTATTCTCCATCTCCTAGGTGTGCTGGCCGGAAGCTGTATTCTCCATCTCCTAGCTGCTCTGGCAGGAAGCTGTATTCTCCCCCATCTCCTAGGTGTGCTGGGACTTAATCCGACACTTTGACATGACATATGTGACGAGACCCAAGAGGTCTGCTGTGCCCAGCACCAACCAATGAACACTTAAAAATGTTTATGTCACCTATTGAGTGATACTCCTGTGGACAAGGCATGTGAAGTCCTTTGCTTGATATGCAGAATAAACATTCTTATTATAAATTATTTATATGATAAGTTATACATAATATGTTACTCTCATAAAATCTTTTTTTTTCATTTCAGATATATGAGACATGCATATGGCTTAGGAGAACATTACAATTCTGTCACACCGTTGGTGAGCGCGACTACTGAAAATTGCAGCTAGTGTGTAGAATGCTGTACAACTGTACTTTAGCACGGTATGCCAAGCTGAGTATTCCCAAGTGCTGGGTTTGTTCTAGACACTACTGAAAAACACAACTACCTTAAATCAGTTTTATGGTAAACCTACTAATAGGCTTTTTAGAACTATATCAGAAATAAACGTTCACCATTGTCCTCTCAGTGTTACTCAAGAAATTGTAGGTCCACTGTTGAGAACATTGTTCCTAGACCAGGAGGGGACTCTTCTGGCTTAGGGTCTTGGGCCTCCTGTCCTGTGTCAGAACACATTTGAAACGATTTTAGTTTTTTTCTCATTACTGGATGCCCTTGAAGAATTGAAATGGCTTAATATCTTTGTCATTACAATATTGTAGCGTGGTGATAGCAAATTCAATTAATGCCTATAAAATGAGCTTGATTTTGGTAACTTTGGTAGTGAAGGGATTAATGCAATGAAATTTTCTACATAAACTATTCATACAGTGCAGTTAATTTCAATGCAAAAATCCAAGAGCAAATAGCTGTTCTCTGTCAGACTTAAACCTAAACAATGAGAGATTAGTGTTTTATGTGTGACTGTAAAAAGACCTAACCAGATATTGTCTTTCTGACTCACTTGTTGTTCTTAAACTTCAGAATGAAGCTAGTACCGTTGTTTCTTGCTTCGCTCCGTAACTACACATTTTTGTGTTTCCTTGCATTTCTTTTGTACCTTTTCCCACCAAGGGACGTTTTATCACTGCTCTCACTCTGTACCACACACAGGAAAAAGGGTCCAAGGCCACTTTGATTTACAGTTCTTCACTGTTTTTCCAGTTTGTCTCACAGGATTTGTTCGCTTGCTGTATGCTTTAGGATTACATGAAGACATCTGCTGTTATTTTATTAGCCTTATTAATGTCACCTTCGCGCAAGCTCCAATAGCTGAGAGTTTTTCTGTTGAAAGCCAGTGTTGGGCGCTAAGGCCTCCGGAGTAAAGTCAGTATGCAGTCGTTTTCTATGGGAATGGCTTCCGTTGCTCAATCTTCAGGTTACTCATGACAGTATTCTTTCTAAGAGGATAGTCTCCATTTATACACGTGTTGTAATTCGTCGTGTTATGGAACATTTGTTATGTTAGGACATTTAGATTTTTTTTCAGTTTGGTTTTCCTCAAATTGGAATATTTCTTTTTTTTTTCAAATTGGAATATTTCAACTGCACGATTCATCATGCTTGTAATGTAAGACTTTTTACTCCATGAATACAGCCAGTATTTTTATAGTACAAAATGGGGTATGAGTGTCACATGCCTCCTGTGACCGTGTGGAGAACTGCCAGGTCTGCAGTCCGCTCGGGCAGGCAGTACTTGCTGAGGCCACTGCCGTTCAAGTGGAAGGCTTGTCCTGCCTGCCAAGCCAGATGTGTTCAGAGGGCTGTTTTGTAACACTTGATGTGAATTTTTTGGTAGCTTGAAATTTGTAAACGAATTAAATTGTAAAAATGTAGGTACTCTGGGTTTATTTTGAAATAATCTGTTGCTTTAAAACAAAAATATTAGCATGAAAAGCAGAAAAACAAAGTGTAATGTGGCCTGCTTATAAATTTCAAGGTCTCAAATATTTGGGAAGAAACCAGTAGATTTTATTTTTCTCTAACATGAGTTAGAATTTTAATTATTTATTTTTAATTTTTAATTTTTTTAATTATTATTTTAGCAAAACTTAAAATAACCAGTATGGCTTTGAACAAAGTTTATATGATCAGTTTCTGATCGGTCATGAAGTTTTAGCGATAACCAAAAAGTCTTCTAAAAATGACAGATGTTAATTTAGTTTTGTTTGTATAATGATGGTCTAATGGAAGTTACATAAGCTTTCTTTTGTTTTAACTCAGAGTATATGTTAAGAGTTCTGGAATATGTCTTTAACCAGGAATTTTATCAACTTAAATATGTTTACAACTTATATAAAACAAAAAAAGAATGTATAACTATAGTGAGCAATGTAGTTTGCTCGTATTATGTTTGCCAAAAAAGTAAAAAATAAATGAATTAAATCAGCACTTGCTTGTTCTAATTTTTTTTTTTTAATTCTACAATTCAAAAAAAGGCATTTATTTTGCCTCAGGATTTTCATTTTAGCTTCACACATAATTGAGAACAGTGCTATGAAAATTCTTGCATTTAAGGGGTTTTCTTTGGAATAAATATGTGAACATAATAAGAGTATAGAGAGGTAATAGCTTAAGCCATGACTCTTAGAAATCAGATAGAATCTTAGAACCCTTTGTATAATGATTGCTTTAGGGCCATCAAATTTGAAGAATATGCTACATCTTCTAGATCCTAAAAAAGTAAACATTTGTGTGTAAGAATGGAACAGTAAGAGGGAAATTGGAAAGGTGTTGTATACCTAGAATTGTTTCCAGCATTGGTGCTGTTGTTCTGAGCCGGGTGTTGTGCAGTCTCTCCCACGAATCTCCAGCCTCTGCTCATCAAGTTCCTGTAGCACCACCTCCAGGGTGGTGAGAACAAACTGGCTTACTTAGAGAGGCATTCCTCCTCCATTGACAACCACTCATTAAATTTTAAGTATGATTACTAGTCAAGTTGGGAAATTCTAAGAAAAACCTTTTAGAGCAAAAATTGGGCATAATTATTCATGTGCTTTGCATGGTTTTGGCAAATCTGTAATGTTAGACTTTACATGAACTTCCCTTTAATGAGTATTCATTTCAAATCCTTGCCCGCTAAGCAGTTTTTGACTTGAAGTCACTAAGAGTAACATTGAAGATAGACTAGGGTGTATTGCCAGAGTCCAGCTCCAGCCGAGTTTGGAACTCGGGAAGGGTGCGTGGAGCCGGTGATAAAGAAAGCCATGGACACTGTCACTTGGTGCCTTCTCACAACAGTTCAAGAAGCTGTCTTTTTTTTTACTCAGACACATCACAAACTTCTACACTAATAGAACTGTAGAACTAGTTCTATTTTTACTCCGAGGCTAAGGGGGCATGTGCAGAAGTTTGGTCATTCTGTCTACTTCAAGGCTAAGCAGGTGCTCCTAAAGATAATTCTGCAAAATATTCATATTCTTCAAAGCAAGCCATTGTTCATTCTTCAGTAGTAGTCATGGAGTAACAGTCAGCATTCCCAAGACCAAGGCACATGCAATTACCTGCTAATCAGTAATACATTCCTACCACATTTCTATTTCTAAGATTTACTCATCATTTAATGGGAAAAATACATCATAAGGAAAAAACAAAAATGTAAGACAAAAGCTTCAAATGTTAAATTCCTCCTGCAACTATAGGCTCTACAATCCCGTAAACAATAAGTTAAAGCATATTTCTTTAATAAAAGCATCCTTAGTTACTCTAGCTAAAAATTAAGGATGTGGCTCCAAAGAATTGCAAAGACAGGCTAGCCTTTGAGATCACAGTAGCTATTTATTGCCATAGCAGCTTCAGCTCTTACTTCTACCTTGCATTAATATTTAGGATATTTATCATGCTGTTTTCCAGAAGGTGTGCTACATGTCCGGGCCAGATTCTGTGGCAATGGTTAAGCACCCTGTAAGGTGTCCAGAAAAGGCACAGGCTTAGGGCTTAATTGTGCTCCTGTGTGTAAATTGTCAAAGACCCACTCACCAAGACATTATCAACGACACTAACTCTCAAGCTCACATCGATTACAAAACCATCTCACGGGGGCAAACAACAATGCCTCAATAGATTACAGAATTGTTAGTGGGGTGCCTGAGTATCCATGCAAACGGGGTGAAACCACATCAAGGTGGTCAGAGAAACATTCACTAGGCCCCGTCAAACAGCTGGAAGCTCCCCTGGGCCCGGCCAAACAGGGGAGCTGTTCTCTCCACATCGTCATGCCTTCCACACCTACTGCATGGACCCCAGCAGTGTATGATGTTAATAACTCAAAAATCTGGGGGTCTTGTATCAGTAAATAGGTACTATATGTGACAAATTGTGCAGGTTGGTTGGAAGTTCTCCATATTTTTATACTTGCAGAGCCAGGCTGTTGGATTTGTCCCCATCTTACATTTTGCCTGGGGAGAACAGATGATTTTTAGAGGCTGTCACTCAAGCTAATGAGTTTTGTGGTATAGAAAAGGTACATCAAATTTCCAGTCTTCGGCTTGAAATAGTCATCTGGCCTCATTGGAGAACATAGAAATGCAGTTCTACCATTCGCAGCTGGAGTGTCTGATGAATGTTAATAAGCATCATCACGTTTACTGGAAATCATGGCATTCATAGTCGCACATTTAAATCTTGATGGTGGCACTTACTAAGTTTTTAGAGACCCAGTTTACCATTCATAAACTATTTATTTACTTATTTTAAGGATTTATTTACTCATTTGAATAAGAGAGAGGTGACAGAATCTTCTATGCACTGGTTCACTCCCCAAATGTGCTAGGTGGAAGGCAGGAACAAGAAGCTTCATCTGTCTCCCGTGTGAGAGGCAATGGTTTTAAAATTAACCAATTCTGTTGCTTTCCCAGGTTGTTAATAGTGAGCTGGATTGAAGTCGAGCACCCAGGGTATGAACTGACACTCATATGTGATGGCAGTGTTGCTCATCACAATAATGGCCACAAATAGGGGTATTTAGTACATGTTGTATGTTGACATATTCCATATGACTTATGACAGAAAATTAAGTTATTTTCTCTATTGAAAAACACAGAGAGAGGTTCCATTTACTGTTTCACTCCCTAATCATGTGCAGTAGCCATGGCTAAACCAGGCTGAAGCCAGGGATCTGAACGTCATGTGGCTCTACCACCTGGGACAGGGAGCTAAGTTCCTGAACTGTCACTTCCTGCTTCCCAGTGCGTGCATCAACCAGAAGCTGGAATAGAAGTCTAAGTCAAAACTAGGCAGTGCTACTTCAGTGTGGAATGTAGATATTCCAACCGTTGCTTCACATCGTGGTCTTATGGATGTAGTTACACATTTATTTGGCTTATATGTCAACTGTAAAGGAGGCAGAACCCAAAAGTTGTTCATCTTTTGAAACAATGGAACTGTCATGATGGTTGGTTCATAAAGCAGAGCCTTGGGATGCAAGACAGAGGTTCCAGCACTGTCCTCGTTCAGCATGGAGGACTTCAGGCAGCTGTAGGGCACTGTGAGACCAAGCAAATACCAGATAATAAAATAAAAATTCCCATAGGATGTCTTTCCTTCAAATGTAATACCTCAAAATGTTGCCATCTATATTTTGATCATAATTTAGTTGCTAAAATTCTTGATTGCTCTCTAGGTTGCTAGGTTGGTTATGATAATCTCTGTACCCTTTGCCTCTTTGTTTGACAGGCAGGGACAGAGAGATCTTCTTCCATCTGCTAGTTTACTCCAAAATTTCAGCAACAGATGGAGCAGGACTAGGCAAAAGTCAGAAGCCCAGAACTCAACTCAAGCCAATGTGGATATACCTGAGTACTTGACCCATCATCTACTGCCTCCCAGGGTATGCATTAGTTGAAAGCTGAAATTGGGAGTTGTTGCTAGGATGCAGACATCCCAAGAAGCACCTGCTGTGCTATACGCCCATTCCTGGGCACAATACTCTTGAAGTTCTTACAACTTTGGCTCTTGTGAGCGAATTGGCATAAATTAAGTTTTTTGCTAAGTGCATAAAGAATATTCAATGCTTTAAAAAATGTTAAGACATGTAGCAATGTGTCTTCAAAACTTAATTTATTTAAACATTAATGTTTTAAATAATACTGATGAATGACATTCAGGATGTTATCGTTGACTTTTTCTCCCACTACATCACAGCTTCCAAAGTGATGGACACAAAATATGTATTTTAATTTGTCCTGAGTGGAAAATTAAACTTTTAAAAATGTGAGTTCATTGGTAGCATTTGCCCGAAATTCCAGCTTCTCAGAAAAATCCCCCAAATTAGGAGGTCTATTTCTACTGAGCCAGCATTGTCCCATGAGAGGAGTACTGGCTGCTGCTTTCAACACAGCACATACTATTTCTGTCCAACGATCTCCACCTGTTCTGCTAACATGTATTTCCTGCATCCATCACACATGCTCAGTTCCCAAGCCAAAATTTTGGTGTTATTGTATATTCTCTATTCTTAACATTTTTGTTTATCCCCTATAAATTAGGCGATGCAAGAGTTTAACTTCTTTGGATCTGAGGTTTTTATTTTCTGACCTATTCATTGCTACTTTTCAATTCAACTTTCTTTGAGATGCACAGAGACACAGAAAAAATTTCCCATGAATTTCTTTCACTCCCCACAAGCCCGCAATGACCTAGGTTGGAACACACAAATTGGAAGCTGGGTAAGAAGTACAATCCAATTTATGGCTAGCAAGAACCCAATTACTTGAGGTATCACTGCTACCTCCCAGGTTGCATTAGTGCAAAACATGAATCAGGATTGAGAGACAGGTAACAAACCCAGGTAGCCTGAGGTGTCATGCAGACCCCTTCATTGGCATATTCATAAAAAGCCAAATGCCTGCCCTTTTGTGCTGCATTTTATTTTGATTGAAAATTGCTTCTGACTTTCAGGCTTCCAAGAAATAATATAAAATAATACATGTATTTGTGTGTGCATTTTTTCATTAGAATATTGAGAGTTCCACCCAGCCTACGAAATAAATGCCCATCTGCAAGCAAGTTGCATTGGCAAATAATATTTAGTATATGGTCATGGGCTTTTCATAAAGCAAACTGATTCATCATTAAGAAAATTGTGATACAGAACTCATAAGAGAATTTAGCAGGGAAGCAGGATACAAAATTAATGCATATAAATCAATGGTTGCTAATGTATTACAAATGATTGGCTGAGAAAGAACTTGTAAGTACACTCCCCTTTAAAATAGTAGAGAACAATCTTATATGCTTTAAAACCTAACCAAAGATGTTGAAGACCTCTCTGATGAAAATTAAAGAACATTAAGAAATAGAGGATATTAAAAGATGGAGAAACTTATTATGTTCCTGGATTGGCAGGATCAACATCACTATAATCTACACAATATCCTTTTTAGAAATAG